GTTTATAAGAAAATGTGTCCAGACAAATACTTCAAGTGACCTTTCGCCACTCAGCTTTAGAAATAGAGTCTTGATAATCTAATTTTATTCTATAGGCAGAGAATTCTCTCTCTCTCTCTCATTTTCTCTCTCTCTCTCTCTTTCTCTCTCTCTCTCTCTCACACACACACACACACAATTTGAAGTAAAAGTGTGATTTTGGTTTAAGGGCCGCAGGGTTTGTCCGTTAGCTTGGTATGCATCTAGCTTCTGGATTCAAAAGAGGATCCCATCCCTTTTGAAATTCGGAGGACCTATAGGTCTTTGTTGCCAGTGAGTCATTTGACTGCCTGCATGGGCAGCCGGGGCGGTCAGATACTGGATTCAGCTTGTCAATGGAATAATATAGTTTCTGTACAGCAGCCAGCTTGGGATGTGAGGGAGAGGGAGGGATACAAACGTACCCAGAAACAGCGCTCTCATCTCATTGTCTAGCTCTTGTTCACCTTTGGTTGCTCAGAGCGGTAGCAGAACCTTCATTGATAATTCAGAGCATGATCTTGCTCCCATTGAAATCAATGGCAAAACTCCCATTGATTTCAATGGGTGCAGGATCGGGCCCCTTATAGTAAGGTATACATATTCTTGTTATTTAGATACCACATTTCTAAAAAAATCACATTACCTCTTTGCCTTTCATTTAGCCTGAAATTTATGAATGGTCTACAGGTCGTTAGATCATTATATTTCTGTTTCCTTTGCTGACGTACTTGAAGGTTTAACCTTTACCTGAGTGTAAAATATGTGACACTAGCTAAAAGTTATTTACCCTTCCTGAAATTCACCCAATTTCCTCCTTGCTTTCTGTTCTCTCAAATTGTTTTCTTTCTTTAAATAAGAGATTGAAATAATACTCAGAAGCTCAATAATTTTCCCCTCCCTGGAGTAAACTTGAGATGTTTTCTAGAGTAAACAGACCTAGATGACTAGATGACCAGACCTAGATGGCAATAGAAAATTCTTCTGCGGCAGGGAATGTGACTGATAAATGAACATGAGGGGGACAAAACCATCTAAATTTTAATCAAAGTGGGAAGAGTCCTCGTGAGGCGAAGTTTTCTTGACTCATATTGAAATTCACTGACCATCTCCCCTTTTCTTTTTAAAATTTCTTACCACTAATAAAACTATTATCTTCTCTCCACTCCCCCGTCCCCTCCATCTCTCATTTGAAGATGCTCTTTTCTTTAATGGTTCATCTCCCGTTCTTCCTACCAAACTGCACAGGAGATGTGGAATCAGATGCAAGGCGAATAAGGCAGGTTAACGGAAGATTAGCACTTTGCGCCTGGTGGAAAATGTACAGTGCTCTGGCAGAGGAAAGCATTCAAATCTTGAATCTATTTATAAAGTGAAGTTAATTGTCATGAAAATGTCTTACACACGCTCTTTTAAAGAACCATCGCCGCCTGTAAAGAGGAAGGAAGTTTTAAGATGCCTTAATTTAGCTTATGGTACCTATGGCACCTGGGCATTGAAAAGCCTGCCAGCAGTTCTATCCTCAGCCCCGAATCAGCCCCGAATTTGCCCTCAGCATCTTTTCGTGGTTGAAACACCGAGTATCAAAGCAGAAGGGCCTCTTTAAGCACTCAGCCAATTATGGAAAAGTAAAAAAAAAAAAAAAAAAAAAGAACTTTGACTTTCTGCCTTAACTGGACAAATTGTCTCGAACAATTTAGGCAGCTGTTAAAAGCTGCAATGTTGAAAGGCCCTGTTGTGGAAAAACCCTTAAGGAATAACAAACAGGCCCCTTCCCAAGACAACCACCCTCCTACCCTTCCACAACACTCCACTCCCCACCCAACACACACCCCTCCACAGCACATAAAACATCCCCCCACAACACGTCCTCCCTCCACAACATACCCACATCCCTCCACAATACACCCACCAAACCTTCCACAACTCTCCCTCCACAACACACACCACCTCCACAACACAACACACAAACACCCCGCTCGCTTTCACAGCATACATGCACACACTTCTGCCCTCCCCACACCGCGGTCACCACTCCACCACACACACAAAGCCTTCCACAGCCCACACATGCACACATAAAGAGGGCAAAATAGTGAAGTTTAAGTTTGAATGGGTTATGATCTGCAATATGAAATCTCCAATCTCAACCACTGACATCTCCAAATGTCCTTATGAATGAATGAGAAAATATGTTGTATGCATTATTATCCTCCTAAAGTATACAGAAGGGCACAAACACTGTCTAAATCTCTTGTAAGTCACATATCAAACACCTTATTGCATGAGACTTTTGCTTTTTGTCCTTAAAAATAAACTCTCTCAATCTGCAGACATCTCTGAGGACTTTTTGGTAAATTGAAACTCCCAACCCGCTTGGGCAGCAAATGAAAAGGTCTGTGGTTGCACTTTCCAGTCAAGAATATGTGGAGAAATCCTATATACTAGGCCTGATGTTTTACAGGTGTAAGGGGGAGCAGACTCATGAGAAGAGGAGAATCACTCCAGTCACTTCAAAGGAGCTACTCCTGATTTACTTCTGTGGGAGGTAAATCAAGCCAACTCTTCCCCCCTTATTTCCCTGCATCTCATCTCTCTGGTATGTATTAAAATAAAAAGTTTATATTGACTGTGCTTAGGGGCTCCAATCATAGATCTAGGCTCCACTGTGCTACAAACAAATACTAAAACCATAGTCCCTGCCCCAGCTAGTTTACATTTACTGAGACTAAATATTCTGACAGTGTTTGGTAGCTATTGGTATTTTGCTTTCTCTTCTCTCCTCTTCTCACCTTCTCCGCTTTGCCCCCTGCTCTTCTCACTTCAATTCTTGCCCCTTTCTTCTCATTTTACACCCTGATCTCCATTCCATCCTCTGCATAAATTCCTCCTTCACCTCTCCTTCCTCTGCATCCATTCTATCTTGTTTTCTTGATTAACCACCTTCCCTCCTTCACTCTCTGTGGCTACCCTATTCCCTCTCTTTCATTTCCCCCATCTCTCCCGTGCCTGCCCTGTATATCTTACTTTCACTTCGACTATCGCCACATAGCCGTTTGTCTTTCTCAATGACATTCCCATAACTTTGCCATCCTCTGTATCCTTCCTGTACCACCTGTACCCTTCTGATTTTCTCTACCCAGGTCATCTTCCTTCACTATCTGTCTCCTCTACCTTTTGTATTAGGGCAGCACTTAGGAGCCCTACTCATGGAGCAGGATATAGGCACTGTACAAAGAGAAACGCAAAAACCTGTCTCTGCCATAAGGAACTTACAATTTAAGACAAGAGACCACAGATGAATACAGTCAGATGGAGGGCGGGGAAAGGGGAGTACAAGGAAACAGTGGGATCGGATGATATTGGTCAGCATGGTAAGCATCTGACTAGTATCTGCTTATCACACCAGCAGCCTAATCATTGTCAAGTTTTTTTGTAGACATCATGGAGAAGGAGAGTTTTAAAGATGTGTGAGTGAAAGGAGGATAACCTTAATGTTGTGGATGTTTACAGGGAGCTCCTCCCAAGCGTTACCAGAAGCATGAGAGCAAATATGAAAATAATTGTTTGAAATTTTAACAAATGGACAAAGGGGCTGGCATCGTAAGTTGGATGTAGGAGCCGATAACTCAATAGTAAATGAGAGATGATAGGACAGACATAGGCCTTGAAAGTGAATACAAGTAGCTCATGTCTGATGTGACAGAGAAGGGGGCACTAGTAATGGAGGGATGCAAAGAGAAGGGTGACATGATCAGAGAGATTGGCCTGGAAAACATCTTTGCGCAGCATTCTGAATGGATATGACTGGGGCAAGGTCCCCTTGCTCACCTGCCTTACAGTGAGGAGAGGCCAAAGAGAAGGATGAGATCTGTAATGGTGAGAGCCTGGACAGGTGTTTTAGTTAGGTGGATGGATAGGAAAGGTGCTGTTTTACAGGTGTTCTGCAGAAAAAAATCTGAGAGGTTTAGATGCAGCCTGGATATAAGGAATTAAAGACAGGACCTAGTCCAAGATGTTCTCCATGTCCACTGAAAGTAGGGCTTCATCTGCAGCAAAGCAGAATTACTTTAGATCAGGGGTTCTCAAACTGGGGGTCGCAAGATTATTACATGGGGGGTCGCCAGCTGTCAGCCTCCACCCCGCCAAACCCCGCTTCACTTCCAGCATTTATAATAATGCTAAATGTAAAAAAAGTGTTTTTAATTTATAAGGGGAGGGGGTCACAGAGGCTGGCTGTGTGAACGGGGTCACCAATTCAAAACTTTGAGAACCGCTGGGTTAGATATTAGGAAACACTTTCTAATGATAAATTATAATGGTAAGCTTACAATTTCACCGCCCACTTCAAAGGGAAGGGCGGGATATTTCCCTGTCTCTGGTAGATTTCACCCATCCCCGCATATTGCTAATCCACGGTTGGCAGAAATGGCTGATCACAAACATGGAGGTTTATTTTACAGCAGTAAGTAAAAATATCCCAGGAGAGCCCGTTGAAGGTCTCCACCCCCACACCCATTGCAGGGGCCCTTTTCGCCTCCCTCCCAATCTCTCATCTTCCTCCTCGTTACTCCTTCAGGGTCCTTCTCGGTCTCCCTCCCTTTTCCCCTCCTGGTCCCTTTCTCAGATCCCTCCCCCCCCCTTGTTTCCCTTTGATCCTCCCCTTTCCCACTGCCTGGCTCCTGACTCCCCTCTTTTTTCTCCTCCTCCTCCCTCCCCACATCTCCATCTCCCCCAGTCTCGTACCCCCTCCCTTTCTCTCTCCCTCCCTCCCTCTCTCCAGCCATTCCTCTCTCTGCTCTCTCCTCCTTCCCCCCCCCCCCCCCCCGCTTCTCCCCCCTCCTCCTCCTCTCCCGTTGCTGGCCCCGCCCTCCGTCCCTCCGCAGCCAATCCGTACAGCTCCCCCTGGCAGCCGCCCGGCCGGCGGTTCAGCGCCGCCGCGGCTCCGGCCAGGCCCGCGGGATGGTGCAGCCGGCGGGGAGTCGGAGGCGCAGAGGCCGGCAGGAGCCGGGCAACCGCGCGCCCCTCATGGCCGGGCTGCCGCTGGGCTGCGAGAGCCGCCGGAGCCTGAGCCCGGGCGCGGAGCCGCCCCGCGCCCGCCTGGCGTTCACCATTGACGGCATCTTGAAGCGCAAGTCTCGGGGCGGCGCGGACTCGGCCAGGAGCCCCAGGCTGCGGCGGGACCCGGGCAGAGCCCGCTGCTGCCGGCTGGACCCGGAGGGGCAGGAGGAGGGGCCTTTGGGACAGCAGCCCAGAGCACGCTACAGAAACCCGGGTAGAGAGACGGGAGCCGCTGGCTGTATCTTTGACATGCACAACTAGACACGGCGCGCGCGCACACACACACACACACACACTGCGCCTCCACCCCACCGTCTGCACACAGCACCACACACAAACACACTGCGTCCCCACCCCACTGTCTGCACACAGCAATACACAAACACACTGCGCCCCCACCCCACTGTCTGCACACAGCACCACACACAAACACACTGCGTCCCCACCCCACCGCCTGCACACAGCACCACACACAAACACACTGCGCCCCTACCCCACCGCCTGCACACAGCACCACACACAAACACACTGCGCCCCTACCCCACCGTCTGCACACAGCACCACACACAAACACACTGCGCCCCTACCCCACCGTCTGCACACAGCACCACACACAAACACACTGCGCCCCTACCCCACCGTCTGCACACAGCACCACACACAAACACACTGCGCCCCTACCCCACCGTCTACACACAGCACCACACACAAACACACTGCGCCCCCACCCCACCCTCTGCACACGGCACCACACACAAACACACTGCGCCCCCCACCCCACCCTCTGCACACGGCAATACACACAAACACACTGCGCCTCCACCCCACCGTCTGCACACAGCACCACACACAAACACACTGCGTCCCCACCCCACCGTCTGCACACAGCACCACACACAAACACACTGCGCCCCCACCCCACCCTCTGCACACGGCAATACACACAAACACACTGCGCCTCCACCCCACCGCCTGCACACAGCACCACACACAAACACACTGCGCCCCTACCCCACCGCCTGCACACAGCACCACACACAAACACACTGCGTCCCCACCCCACCGTCTGCACACAGCACCACACACAAACACACTGCGCCCCTACCCCACCGTCTGCACACAGCACCACACACAAACACACTGCGCCCCTACCCCACCGTCTGCACACAGCACCACACACAAACACACTGCGCCCCTACCCCACCGTCTGCACACAGCACCACACACAAACACACTGCGCCCCTACCCCACCGTCTACACACAGCACCACACACAAACACACTGCGCCCCCACCCCACCCTCTGCACACGGCAATACACACAAACACACTGCGCCTCCACCCCACCGTCTGCACACAGCACCACACACAAACACACTGCGCCCCCACCCCACCGTCTGCACACAGCACCACACACAAACACACTGCGTCCCCACCCCACTGTCTGCACACAGCAATACACACAAACACACTGCGTCCCTACCCCACCGTCTGCACACAGCACCACACACAAACACACTGCGTCCCCACCCCACTGTCTGCACACAGCACCACACACAAACACACTGCGTCCCCACCCCACTGTCTGCACGCAGCACCACACACAAACACACACTGCACCTCCACCCCACCGTCTGCACACAGCAATACACACAAACACACTGCGACCCTACCCCACCGTCTGCACACAGCACCACACACTGCACAACCAAACACACTGCACCTCCACCCCACATACTGCGCACACACCACCATATACTGCACCCCCACACACATACTGCACCCCACCCCACCTACTGCACACACCCATAGGGCACCCCCACATTGCATGCCCCTGCCTACCACACACATCCCTACATATCCATTGCACTCCTACTGCATACACTGCACCCCCTCACCTTCACACACACTGCACACCCCTCACCTACTGCATCCACATCCCTGAACACACACTCCCACCTGCGGCACACACCTCTGCACACTGCCACACAATGCACACACACCTACTGCCTCTGCATGCCACCCCTACACAAACTGCGCACACATCATCCCTTCACACTCTTCTTGCATACCACACCTATACACGCAGACATACTGTATACCCACACCGACTGCATTATCCACACGGCACACACTCACCTACACAAATACACTGCACACACACTGTACGCTCGCCCCCACCACACAGCATTCATATTGCACGGTGCATTCAGGTAGAGCCAGGGGCTTGGATCCCATGGGGATGAGTGTGGGCTGGGTGGCTGCATAGATACCTCACTCCCGCTGCACACACACGGTTCTCCTGTTACACTTTGCCATGGTGATGAATGGGGGATAGATAACTATCCCTCCCCGCCCCCCCCCCCCCCCAAGTCTTTCAGGCTGTTTATACCGGGTACCCTACCCCACTCCCGCCGCCTTCTGGCCCTGTCCTGAACCTTCGGGCACCTAATTTCTCTCCTACGGCTCCCCATCCCTTGAAGTGCCGCTGGATCCGTTATCGGAAGCTCTTCGCCCTCTCTCCTTCCCGGGGGGTCCCCCGGGGGGTTGCTGCTAGACACCCCGGACTGCTAGACTCGCCCTCAGCAGTTCCCGGCCCCCCCGCTGCCCATCGGGCTCCCAGCCGGACGCGCGGCGGTGCGGGACGCGGGCTCTTGCCGCGGCCGGGGGGGTTGACGCTGTGCTTTGCCACTGCAGGAAAGGAGACGGGCCGGATGGCAGCGGACGGGGCGGCAGGACGGGGCCTCGGGCCCGGCGGTGAAACAGGGGGAGGAGGCGCGGGCTCCCCGCTGCCCGAGGGCTTGCCCCGCAGCCCCGACGCCTCGCCCCGGGAAGGAGGAGCAGCCGGGGCCCACGGGGGCTGCAGCAAGAAAAGCAGCAAGGTACTGGCGGGGGCCAGCAAGAAGAAGACCCGCACCATCTTCTCCAAGAGCCAGGTCTTCCAGCTGGAGTCCGCCTTCGGCAGGAAGCGCTACCTGAGCAGCGCCGAGCGAGCCGGCCTGGCCAGCGCCCTGCAGCTCTCCGAGACCCAGGTGAAGATCTGGTTCCAGAACCGCAGGAATAAGCTCAAGAGACAAATGTCTGCGGACCTGGAGGGCCCCGCTCCGGGCCAGGCAGAGCCGCCTGGGGAACTGCTATCCCAGGGGACGGCAGCTGCGGCTTCGCTCGCCTTCCCCGCCCTGTCCAAAGGCAGCACTTTCCTCCGTCGTTGTTTGCTGCCGCTGTCCTTCCCCCTGCTCTATCCGGGCAGCGCCGCCCCTTACCTGTGTTTCCCAAATCCGGGCAAATATTTCAGCCTTGTGGATGGGGATGTATAACCTCCCGTCCTCCTGCGCCCCCCCGCACCTGCAGCCGAACGGCCTTGTTCCAGTTATAGGTCTGCATCTTCTGCCAGTGTTATCTATATGCACAGCATGTCCGTAGGATCCCTTCACCCCGCTCTCTGGTGTGTCTTCCTGCATTTGTTTCAACCCGTAACTTATTACAAAGACGCGACAAAAACAAAGTCCCGGGCAAAGCTACTGCTTTTAACCAGGGATCCATTTAACTTGGAACTCGGCACTCTCCCCGTAGGCACCTTTCTCACACACTGTGCATCTGCGAAGGGGGTGGAGACCCACCTTGCTCTGTCAACACTTCATAAAAGAGAAACGCTGTCCTTCAAATGTTACCCAAAGATAGACAAACACTCACCAAACTATACCAATAAAAATATAAATCCAAGCAACAATTAGCTGTGTTTGATCACACGCTGGCTTTCTCTTTCAGTTGAAAGGATAATGTGTCTCTAAAATATTGTCAACGCTTAAAGGGTATTTTTACAAAGGTCTTTTTTACAATTCCAATTTTTCTTGTTAGTAGAGATACAGTTGTTGAGAACCAAAGAAAATGGGACATGAATTCTGGAGGCCATTCATTTGCTATATATCTATACCTATCTATATCCATATGTCTCAGTAGCAGATGCTATGTCCTGTATCACACTGAATCTCTCTCTCATGTGTTTGAGGCTGTGAGTACAATAATCTCTGAGCCCGCCTGTACTAAAGTATTAGGCCTGGTTAATACCTGAGAATTCTACGACTGTACATTCTCGAAAGCTAGGTATTTCCTGACACTATTAAGTTGTTGACATTTTGACTAAAATCTGGTTCTTGGGGTTTTAAACTGGCTCTTCCAGCGTCTCCAAGAAAAATCAAGCTCCCTGTCACATTTTTTGTATTAAGCCCTCAGAAATGTGGGACATTTTTATCTGCTATACTAGAATAATGAAACAATATTTTTTATAGATTTCTAAACCGAATTCTCATATATTGGTCTCAAGCTTCTACAATATACAAGGGTGGAAAATAAATCTTTTCTGTCAGAAACATAAACTGCATGCCTCTTCAATACAGTTAATGTTAAGCACTGTAAAAATAATAGTTCTTAGCACATGTCTGATAGGTTTTTTTAAATAAAGGTTTGAGGAAATAAGTTTGTGGTATTATTAAAATTCACTTTTTCCTCTGCACTAAATGCCATCAGTGATTCAGGACTTTGTCCTTTATAAAGACTGTATGATTTGATAATTGAACTTTTAAATAAAATTATTGGGGAAATTAGAAGGCAACTGTGATTAGATCTATATTTTAGTTACGACCCTCAGCCAGGCAAAGACCTGAAATATGTGCTCAATTATGGCAAATAGAGCACGGAAAGGAAAATGTTTAAAACCCAGAAAAACAATTTTCCAAACCTGTTGAAATGAACATTCAAAGATAAGAGGGAAACAGCTGGGTGAAATTGACAAGTGCATCGTGATGGTGCGGCTGTTGACAAATGAAGTGCAGGAGAAAACTTTTTTTGTTTGTTTTTGTTTGTTTGTTTGTTTTTTGTTTTTAAGCAAAGCGCCGTCTTTTCTTCCTTTTTCTCTTGACTCCTCTCCGGTCGGTTAGTAAATGCAGGAGATAAGTGTCTGCGCAATTACGTGCACCAGCCCGAGTGTGAAATGTATGCAGTGGTTTGTGATGAAAGAACTTGACGCAAGAAAGAAGGGAGGGTTAAGATTGTAATTGGAAGACAGTCTCGTGTGGAACTTTTTTTTTTTTTTTTTCAAAGCAAGAAATTCTATTAAAAGGAATATCGTTTGGTTTAATGCAGCTCCAGAGAAGTTGCTAAGTAAACATTTGATCAAATGAATTTGACTGTAGGATCACAGCTTTGCTTAGTGGCTATGGAGCTAAGCCATGTTTTGGCTTAATAAAATGGGAACATTGTTTGACCCGTCAAACTGCATTGCCAATCTTGAATTCTCTCACAGACGCCAAGTCCTGGAAGGCCTATCTCTCAGATCATGACAATGGGAATAAACTACGATCCAAGAACGAAACAAGACTACACTGTAAATAGTCGTTTAGATATTATTAAACATAACGCCTACGAGCCCGTTCTGTTGATTGTACCTTCCTTGTTTCTTTACACTGCACCAAAAGTTTTTTCTCTCTCTCTCTCTGCGTTCACAGTTCAATTGTGGGGCTCAAAAATATGGCTGGCGCTTCAGCGGGCAACCCTCTTGTTTCATTCTCTGTCTATATATTTGGTTGAATAAATTAAGGAATTTTTTTGAACCCTCAAATCCCCCCCATATCTAAAGAGATTTGGCGACGGGTGTTAAACCTACAGAAGTGACGATGCCTTTATTTATAAGGATAATTTGATACTGGGCAACTATGTTATAGCTATATATTTACCGCGACGGATGATCTATTCAGGGGGAGAAGTCAGCGTGGGGAATATCTCAGCTTTTCAATTGTTAATTTAATACCTACGCAAAATACAGCATTTATTACTATGGAATTACTCTGGTAAGAAGCGGCAGCCTAATAGGACTCCACCATCCTTCCCAGAGATCACAGCAATGGTATTTTCATCAGAAATAAAGGATATACATGGAAGCAAAATTGAGTTTAATAACTTCACCCATTCGTACTATTGATTCAACAAATGTCTCTGAAAAAGATAAAGGTAATAAATTAAAGCATCCTTTCAGATAATTAATACCCACTTATTCCAAGGTTATAATTACACCAGTTATTATGCACGGGTCGGATTCTACTCCCTTTTACACCGGTGTGAATCTGGAATACCTACTGTTTTCAGTGGAGTTACTCTGGATTCATGTCAGTAACTGAATAAAAATCTCACCCAATGTTATTAAAGGAATATATTTTATATCTAAAAAGGAGATGTAACACAGACCTTCAGTATAATGTAGGTCCTAGGTTATGTCCAAAATTGTGCAGCTTTCTTATGCATTTGTTCCAAAGTTACTGAATATCCATAAAGAGCTAGTACTAGGATCAATAGTTGACAAAACACCTAAGCAGTTGAAATAAATAGTATTTTTCATAAGTATTATTCAAGCCATCACTGCAGTTATTTGGATCAATGGAAAAATACTGTTTCATATAATATGCTATTGAATATAATACACCCAGTCCTCCACTTGCAAGGTGTTTTTCTACATTAAATTATTTTAATGAAAAGATAACCAAGTACAGGACAGAACAAATGGTGTGATTCACAAATAAACATCTAACTTTTTAAAATGTATGCTGAATGCAACTGAGCTTTCTTCTGATTTTAAACTAATTATATTTGTAAGTGAAAATGGTTAGTTACCCTGTGTAAGGAAGTGGCTATTCTTTTAAAATATAAGGAAAATCTGTAAGTAAAGGAAGAAAAAATTGTCCTCATCACTGACATAAAAGTGACTCTAATCAATAACCTGATCCATATTCAACAGAGAGAAGCTAGAATACTACTGATGTTAAAGAAACTAATCTCTCAAGCATTTCAATGCCTGATGCCGCAGCAGGAGTGGGTCCTAAAGAAGGAGTCTCCGTTATTGTTGTTGGTGATCTGAAAATCCAGAAAAATGTCAGATCTTTAAGATTTTGGATAATTAGCTACTATTCTAGATGAGAGAGGAAATACACCTCCTGCACAATATTAAATAAATGAGGCTTGTCTATTGGGGGACATCCAGAAAAATTAATTCAAATTAACTAAAGGTGTGAGTTGGAAGTGGCTTAGTTAAACTTCATTAAACCCCTGCATGAATGCCTTCATTCAGAATTAAAGTGGCTTTAATTCAGTTTATTTTAAATCACTTCCAAAGTGAATTAAATTAAACCAAATAAAGGCCCTCTGAATAATAGCATCCATACAGGGATTTAAGGTGATTCAATTAATCCACTTCATACCTTTAGTTAATTCAGATGAATTTTCCTGGATGTCCCCATGTAGACAAACCCTAAAAAAACCCCACCCTAATCCCCCCAATATATTACAGTTGACTAGTGGCTGCAACTGGGATTTGAAAGCTTGCTGCCAAAGTTTATTACAAATAAAGGAATGACCCCAGGGGCTTAGTTGATGTGTCAGTTTCAAAACTGTGGTTAGAAGAGATCATCTGCTTCCACGGAGAGGTACTACAAAGGATACAACAGTGTAGCCAGAGCGCTGCAGCTGTACCGTGGGAGTGGGGATCCTTGCTACAGCACAGAAAGGGTTTTTCCATCACTGTAGCAAATCCACCTGCTCCAGAGACAGCAGTGAGGATGATGGAAGAATTCTCCCATCAGCTTAGCAAAGTCTACAGTGGGGGTTACATCGACCTTATTGCACGGGGTGTGAAGCTTTCACAGCCCTGAGACATGGAGCTAGGTCAACCTACATTTTAGGTGCAGACCAGGCCCAAGGGAATTCTTTATAATACGCTTCCCCTTAACAAAAACAACATGCACATTTTGTACTCCTGCTTATTATTTGTATTAGGATAGCACCTGCAGACCCTAAATGAGACTGGACTCCATTGTACGAGGCGCCTTACATACACATAATAAGCAAAAGTCCCTGCCCAGAAAATCTTACAATCTATAGACAAGTTTTATGTTGTGTTGCTGTAGCCGTGTCAGTCCTAGGATATTAGAGAGACACGGTGGGTGAGGTAATATATTTTATTGGACCAACTTCTGTTGGTGAGAGGGACAAGCTTTTGAGTTTACACAGAGCAGACCTCATGTTGGTGTAAACTGAGAGTCAATCCACTGCGTTACATTGGCTTAAAATGGGTGTAAATGAGATCAGCGCCAGGTCTATTGGTTTTAGTAGCAATTTTTCCTGGTCAGGGAATTTCAGGATGGGCCCATAGTCTTAGGGCAAATAGAATGAGTGAATTATTTATTTTGGATTGGACTGGATGGACAGTGGCCTTATCTGGCCACTGAGGGGAGTGAATAAAGATTTCTACACCCCTCCCATTGTCTGCATAAGCACTGCCCCAAACTGCAGCCTCTACACTCAGGAGAGGCTGGCTGCTTTCCAGAGCTCCTGGGCATGCAGAAGCTATGCCCCCACTACCTGTATAGGATGCGGTTTACTAGCCCCTGTGTAGCTGGCCAGCTCCATGGACCAGCACAGAGCCATAGCCCTACCTCTTCTTCACCCCTCATGTGCCCATGGGGGGAGTAGGGAGGGAGCAGTCCCTCCACTCCCATGGGTGCAGATGATGTAATTCTACCTGACCCTTACATGAGCGATGTTAGAAAGGGAAGGTGCTTCCGCCCTTCCCCACTGCTATGCATCCTTGTAAGGGCTAGGCAGAAACTGGCCTAAAGGGAGAGCAGCGGAGCTTCTTCTCAGAGAGGAGACAAGAGGCATCAAATGCATAAGGTCAGACCTGGATCTCATTCATGTATGCAAATCTAGTTAGGTGACCCCTGAGTATGACTAAAGAGAGACTGACAAGTTGTGATTGTTGTGATTCCTGCTACTGGTTGGCTATGACCTGTGGAGAGAGCTAGTCCATGCTAAAAATCCTGTTATTTCTGGCCTCCTCTCCCCTTTACCTCCTTTGCTTTCTTGGTTTCATCCATCAGTTGTGTCATGGCTTTAGGTTGCAAGATCTTTCGGGCAAGGACTGTTCCTTTGCATTTGTACAACGACTGGCACAATGGGGCCCTGACCAACACGCAGACTCTTCTGTAGTACAACAACACATCTATAGTAACTTCATGTTCTTCAATGGGGTAACCCCTGATTTATATCAGTATAAGTAAGACTATCATCTGGATCATGCTCACATCAGCATAAGTGAGAGGAGAATCAATTCCCTACTTTCAAGGTAAACACCAGTTCACATCCAGCCAGGTTTAATTAAGCTTAAGGTAAATAAAATGAATTCAGTGCAGGGTTAATGCAGGAGTTGTTCAGACAAGGCCATAGTTTACTTAAACCTTTATTTATATAACTCATTGATAGGCAGTCACTTTTAATATTGGGCCAGGGCCTTTGGTGGTGCAAATCAGCAGACCTGTGTAGCACGAATTGCACAGTTGAGTAATTTCATCTAAAAAACGATATAACAGACACACAAAAGGTACAGGAAAGGACAACCAAAATCATCGTGGCCTAGAAAGACTTTCTAATGGAGAGAGATTACAAAGATTAGGGGCCTTTTTCTGATTTCATTTATACTGGTGTAAATCCAGAGTAAATCCCCTGGTGTCAATGTCGTTACTCTACATTTATACTGATGTAACTCAGAACATAATCTGGCCCAATGCCTTTGACAGATGATAGTTTTAAGATTCATTTCCCAGACATTCAGCCATGGTGATTCATTCTCTCCCTCCCCACGTTTTTTAACCAAGCCTTTTGGAGGGGTGGTGGAAAAGGGTTTTTTCCAAGAGTTCAGTGCAGGTCTGCATACGTGCAGGGGGTCTCACTGCATGGATCTGTTTGCAGGACCAAGTCCTTACTGTTTTTCTTACACTTAATATACATAATATAATAATAAATCATAGTTTTGATGTGAAATAACAACTATATTGTATAACATAGTATTATCTTATCTACTATTTGAAAATAATCACTGTAAACAGAAACTGCTTAAAATAGAAACATGATAATCTTATACTATACAAAAATAATCCACTGTGCTTCAAGGGGGTTTATCTTGGGGGCCACTCATTGTTATGCCCACAG